TTACCTGCCACTTCAGAGTTATGTCCACTGTTCTTTTCCAGTGAAAGTATAGCACATTTCTTCTTAACTTTCCCAGTTTAAATAATATGAAATACTATCGGAGTCTACCAGATCTTCTTACTACACATTATTTAAAAGTGGTAGATGATGTGGCGATAGCAACTTTTCTGTCTTTATTCATTATGAAAATGTTTATTTCTGTCACCATAATACTATTACTTTCTGCAGCATATTATTGCTTATAGATTTGATCTGAAAAATCTTGGCGCTTGTAATGTGTTGTTAAATGCATTTTTAAGTACCAAGATGTTATGGTCCATAAAGCTACTTTATAGGACCATTGACATTCAGGGGTAATGTCTGTAAGGGATAAATTTCTGAATTGTCAGAGTTGCATGGCACAGAGTTATAGAACTTACATGAAAGGAAATCAGATTTTAGTACTTGTATCTCGAGTCATGTACCAAACTTGAAAGGATATATTTCGTACATTATCAAAACCAAGGACAGTGGAATATAGTGTAAAATTAATCCAGATAAAATAAAATAAAAGCAAATGATATCATTCACCTACAGCCTTCAGTTGGGCCTTGATCATTCACAATGCCTATGTAATGTCACCCATTGTTAAGAAACTACCATATTTGCAAGGTATTATGAGGCAGTACAAGGTCATAAAGGAAACAGCCTAAACTGTGAATTGCCTTGCTTTTATCTTGACCTTGTGATCAACTGAATTTGCTAGAGTACCAGCAAGACAGAATCTCTCAGTGGAGGAAGATACCATTACTTAATGTCATATCATTATACTCAACAGAAAGTTATAGGCTGCACATGGTCATTGGAACTGTAGAAGCTTCCTGCCTTGGATTTACCTACTGAGGTTTCATTCATCTCTTCCACACACATTGGCACCATTGTGCATTTCAGTGTAAATAGCCTACTATGCATGATATACCAGCTGGATTTTCTAGGGTGCCCATCTGTGCAAATAGTGTACTAGAGTGCAAGCTTGGGCTGAAAGAATAAATACACTTTGAAACGATTTCATTTAAATTCAGTCAGGGATGATTCCTGTTGAAAAACATGATTCTCAGAGCTCTTTTCTTAATGCATGAATGTATGTACATGATGTATGCATGGGCCTATGTTTGCATCACAACCTTTTTCGGTTTTTTTTCTGCGTTTATTTTAAAAGCAGATATCGTTGAGCTGCTCTGCTCAAAATAACTTTAATGTGCCATAAACTAGCAGCCAAGATGTCACCCCTTAGTCTCAAGATGCAGAAACTTTCTAACACACACAATTGTGGTAAATCTGCATTCTGACTAAAAGTATCTCAGGGGAAGCAGCTGTATCTTGAAGTTTCACATGCACTGCTGCCAGAGCACAAGGAAAACTACTGAGCTTGATACTGGGTTTGCTAGACCACTAGGTCATGTCTATCTCCAATTTCATTTGCAGTGCTAGATCACAGGATATCAGTTTCAGGTTCCTACAAGTTATTGTGAGATCATGAGCAAGAGGAAAACATTTTTGAGGTTGATCACAAACAAGAATCAAATACAGCCTAAGCAACTGCAAAGTGGCCTAAGCTAATGAAGTTATCAGTGTTTGTTAGGTTGCCACTGATTAATAAAGTTCCTGAAATAATTACTTTCTCAGTGCTGCTATCAAATGCACAATATAAAGTCCACAGTAGATTGTTTATCTGATAGCAGCATTAACATCAGCTGAATGTCATAATGTGTATGCTAATAACGTGGGAATGTTTATGAAATAAAAATGTCAGAATAAGCCTTTGTCAGCCACTTTGGTATAATTATGTTCCCTCTGTGCAGTTTTCAGGAAAAGGCATGAATACCTTTGGACTTCCTATGGGAAGTACAAGTGGGAGAGGGTGTCAGGATGAATAGATATGCGTTGGGCTGCTCTTTGTTGGCAAGCATGTTTGAAGGCAGTGTCTGATCCATCATCTGCTTCACCTGGCTGCAAGGGGTGGAGCACCATCTGAGAGGCATCTGTTTCTCAAGCTTGCTAAAGTAGCTGTTCTGTTTGGAAGAAGGCTCAAGTCTCTGCCTGATAGTCACAAGCATGAATTTGGAGCCAGTCCCAGTTGCTCCTTCTGTCATTATTGCTGTTGTTTCAGTTTATCAAATCACTAGGTCAAACCCTGGGCACTCTGCTTTCTGAAATTACCTCATCCTAGAAAGCTTTACTGTACATCAGGGGAGCTGTCCTCTTGTATCAGTGTAGTGTTTTGTTTGTCTGCCTGATTCAGTATCAGTTCATCTTAGTCCAGCATTGTGCAAATATATTATCTTTGCTGAAGAGGATAGTGTCATAGGCTTTGTAGTTGCTCTTCCATTGGAAGATTTTGCTAATAAACTTCTTATTCAGATCAGTCTGTTGTAGGTTTATCTTCTTTAGAAATTGTGAATGAAGAAAGAAGACTGAGTTCAGCAAGGCATTTCGTTATTTGTACAGCTAGAGAGAAAAGATCCTTGAAGTATGGGTGTTTTAAGCCATTACAGATTAAACCTTTGGTTTGCAATTGTCTATTGCTGCTCTCTTCCTGACTCATACTTTTCCTGTTCATGGTACAAAGCTCTCCAACAGTACAGTTTCATTCTTCATTGTCATCTTGGCTCTTGAAGTATCCTGAAATGACCAATGACAAGTAATAAGAAATAGAAGCCCATAATTGCACACACGGTTAGCATGTTAAAATTAACTACTGCATATAGAATGGCATACTGCAATGTCTTACAGCTGCAATAAAAGTTTTGGGAGGCCAAGTATAGCCACTGGGCTTTGCTTTGGCTGTGTAGAAAAAGAAGTCCTTGCATAATTTGGAATGGAATAGGCAGTTTATACAGTAATGCTGATCATGTTGGAAACATATGATCAGTTGGAAGAGCACATTTACATAAGCAACAGCTTTATTCTTCTGGTTCTTTATGCCTTTCATTTGATTTATAATAGACTCACTGTTGCATGTCCTTGGATGCTCATTCATTTTTTAAAAATCAAGAAAGATACAGCCAAGATCATGATTCTCCTCGTGAAACTTCCCTTTCCAAGTTGATTGTGCGATTGTTTATTCCTCCCCACAAGCTTATATCCTCAATTGCTTTTGGTTCAAGCAAAGAAAGCATGGAAGTTAAATTAGTTCTGCTATCTATTGTTTAATATCATCATACATATGCTATATCAAATAACAGTTGTATATGTGTGCTCTAACATACTGCACTTCTGTGATACCATCTATATGATCTCCAGAGAAATATTAGAATTGATATAAGCTCTTGGGAGATCTAGAATGTTGAGGCAGCCACTGTTTGCTCACAGATATTCCCTATAGCAAAGCAGGTGCTATGGAGTGACTGTCTATAACTGCAAATGCAGATAATTATGGGCACCCTGTTAAGGGTGGAAAGAATATGGAGAGGAAGGTCACCTCTCTGCTTCTCCTGCCCTGAAGAAGAGTTAAAGGATGATTTTGACTATTTGAGACTTTTGCTCCGGCTTGCTACAAGAACAGGGTTAGATGCCACCATGATCCATCATATCCTGATGGAGCCTCACTCCTCTCCTTAGCCCCCATTCAGAATGGCCACAAAATGCCAGCCCTGAAGTGGATCTTTCAATCATGGAGCTGCAGTTGATGTAGACAGAATCACACCAGCTGTAACAGAGCATGCCAAGTTTAGAGCCATTTTCCAAGATCAGAGCTGGTACTCTGAAGTGTCCTGTGGCTATCTAGACAGCATCTAGTAGCCATAGGCTTGTGCCCTAAATGAGTTATTTTGCAAAAGCTAGTTGGTTGTATTGGTTCAGAATGCAGGTTTGGGACTCAGGTGATCTGCGTTCTAGTTCATTCAGCCATGTAGTTAACTGGATTATTTTGGACCAGTCACAGACTCTCAGACCAGCCTACCTCACAGGGTTGTTGTTGTGAGGATAAGCTTGAGAGAAAGAGGTGAATTATGTAAGCTGAAGGAAGGAAGGCAGGCTATAAATATAATTAATAAATAAATGTCCTATGATTTAGTTTTTTCTAAAGAGCGATAATCCAGGGATCAAAAATTACCTCTTTATTCACAAAGAGCCTTCTAGGCCCTGGTGAGTAGGAATGTAAGATTATTGAACTATTCTTTCCTCCATCCTTAACAGCTGGAATATATCGGAAAATGGATTGCCACAGCACCAAGACAGGGGATACCACCAGGAACTATGCCTTTTCTCCCATTACTGCTGTGCTGTCTTAAATGTGAAATAAACAAGTGTGTTTGCCATCTTTTTGTTAGCAGAGGACTGGCCCTATAGACTGATCCTTGGCTAATACCCTTATTCTAGTGTAGACTGGCAAATCATTAGAATAGGGGGCAGGTGGATCGATGCAGTACCAGCACATCCCTGGATATATACTGTAAAGATCGGAAATACATTGCGTGAATTTTGGGAGCCTTTCAGAAGTTTCTAAGATGCACCATTAGGGAAGTCAAGTCCAAGCAATCTGGAGGTATGTATTCAAAGTTCCTTACCTTGAATGTATCTGGAAAGATTATGAGAAGCAGAGTCACACCTGGCATAATCAAGGTCTCACAAACAAACTCTCATGGTTTCCAGTGTTGCTTTGTAGACTAGAATGCTAGTTCTGGTATAGCAAGAGTTTTAGTGGTTAGTTTATGCATGTGTATGGAAGAACTGAGGATCTGTGCTCCACTTGCAACTAAACAGTGCTGCTAAAACTAGAAGTTGACTGTACAGAATGCTTAGGCTTCAAAATACCTAGGTAACTTACTCTCATTTACAATTAGTTTTGCTCCTCTTCTGTAAGGCTGCAAGTATGTCTCAGAACTGCTATTGTGCATTATTAATGGTAAAAGAAACTTTCCACAGTTTAGCATTACATGCTGATGTTACTTTAGTTATTGACTTAGGGATAATTACCCAATAAAATGGATTCCACTATTTCTATCTGTTCTCTGCATGGGCTAGTGCATGTTGTTTTATGTAACTTGGTCTACATGTTTATACTATTATAAGAAAGCTTAAATGATTAAGGGTGCAAACTTGGAAAAATCAGAAAAAGTTTTTCAATCCCAGCATTCCCCAACTAGCATGGTTGGCTGGGGAATGTGAAGAGCTATAGGACATTTCTCTGCCTAAAAAATGCTTTTCTGTCTAAAATACTTTCCTTGATCTACAGATTTCACTCTAGTTGGGTTCCCAGCAATTCTAACAGTTGTTTTGTATTCACTTTCTGTTTGGAACAAGAAAAATAAATGGACATTAAAACTCGACTTGGAAGAATTTGATCGAAGTCTTCTGTTCATTTTTAAGCAGGTATAATTAGGACAAAGTATATTAAATATTTAATTTTACATCTGGTGTTGAAGTTATGCATTTTCTGTTAGAAAGTGTTATTTTCTTATGACAACAAACAATAATATACTTGGCTAGAGATTGCAGAGCTACAGGAAACACTCTGTCCCCATCCATCAGTTAGAGGACAAAGGACAGCTGGATTATGTGGATTTTGTGTTGGTGTGTGTTAATATAATCAATTGTAAACCATCATGAAGATCATTCAATAGAAAAGCAGGGTGTCAATAATAAATAATGCAGTGGATAAACTACTGTAGCATTGACAGAGCAATCTTATTCATGTTTACTGAGAATTAAGTCCACTCTGTTGAATGGTACTTATAGCCATTATAGATGTGCAGAGGACTGCAATCTGAAACTGTTAGGAAACCCCTGCAACGGCTGGGAAAACTACTTTTTCAGAAGAATGTACAAGTGTCATGGGTTCAGGGTTTAATGCAGGTTTTTGTACGAAAAGCAGTGTGAGAAGGATTTAGTTGCGTGTGCTCACGCAAATAAGACATAATGGGGGCATTCACATGTAATGGTAGTAAACTGAGCTAACTGATCCATGTTTTGTCTCAGTGTATGCCACACATGTTCCAAAGCTTTTTTGAATATTCAACCCCCAATTGGGAATTATTACATGACATCTGGACATCGGCAGGTTAGGTTAATCATGGGTCAAACAACTCAAAGACTAACTACTAATTGTAGGCTAACTGTGAGTTGTCCAGGTTTGGACACCACATGGCAATTGCTGGTATTCAAAACGGCTAAGGAACATGTCACGGAAAATTGTGAGCTAATTAACCCGTAATTTGTCACTGTTGCCAATAAACTGGGACATTTTGATGCTAAACAAGTAGAAATACAGGTTTTAGAACTGTGAATTCTGAATGTCCAATATTTCCAAAAGCTAGAATTGCAACTCCATTAGGAATGTAGGTTCTTCAGCTCTAGGTCTAGAAACCTCAGGCAAGAAACAAAAAATGCAAAGGCAGAAGAACCTTTGGAGTTAATGTAAAAAAATGGTATCAGTGGTAGAGAAACTGAATAGGGCTATACAGTTTTGTGACTTGGGCACATAACAAAAGACTGAGCAGGCTGTAGTAATCTCTCACATGACTCCAGCAGAAGTGAGAAGGAGTAAAACAATTGTGAGTCGTGATCTAGTAAACAATTGTGTAGTAATCTCTCACAGGACTCTAGCAGGAGAGAGAAGTAGTAACAACTGTTTACATGTTAAACTTTAGTTTGTGCTCTGATGTTTCTTGGGGTTTGTTGACTGATAAGTAACAATTCAAGTTTGCTTAATTAAAACTAAACGTTTGCTGTTTAACCGGGTTTTAGTCATAAGTATCCATATACCTGACATGTCAACAGATAATCCGTGAAGGTCCAGACAGATAGTTATGAATTGTGAAAAAATGCTAAGCAACTTAAGGATTTCTTGGAGTAAATGACAACCAACATTATTTAACAGGCAGAAATTTTAAGGGATGGAAGGCAGGAACTTTATTCTTCCTTCTAGATAGTAGAACAGTAAAAGAAGAACATTGCCTCTTCTCATGATTATCGCAATGTGTTACTAAAGCTATGCTTTCAAGTTACCAGAATTTAAACTTTCCAATTTAACACTGGATGTTATGCAACTGCTCAAAAATGGAGGATGGGGATAACTCGTACTTCTAAACTAGTTAGAAACTCAGGACAGTGCTGAGAAGGTGGAAAATACTCTAGAAACCACATTAAAATTAAAGGATTACATTGGCAAGGGTGAGATAGTTGTCTTTGCCCCTCTTTCTTGCATATGAGAATATGCAGGTAGCACTCAGCTCTACCTCACCTTTTCATTGAGCTCTGCATCAGTGCCTGGGCTTGGTAATGGACTGGATGAGGACCAGCAAACTTGAGACTCAATCCGAACAAGATAGAGGTACTGTTGGTGGGTGGGTCGTCTGTCCAGTTGGGAGACAGCCTGTTCTGGACAGGGTTGTACTCCCTCTAAAGGACGAGGTTGATAGTTTGGAGGTGCTCCTGGATCTGGAACCATTGCTTCGGTCACACGTGGAGCACCTTCTATCAGCTTAGGCTGATCTACCAAGTATGGCCCTATCTGGACAAACAAAACATGCTCTGGTAACCTCTCGATTGGACTATCGTAACACTCTTACCATGGGGCTGCATTTGAAAACAATCCGGATACTTGAACTGATTCAGAAAAGGGCAGCATGGCTGTTTATGGGGACTGGCCCTCAAAATCAAATTATGCCAGTCCTGTTTCAGCTGCACTGACTCTTGCTTGAGGTCTGGGCTTCAGTGCAAACTGCTTGTACTCACATTTAAAACCCTAAATGGCTTAGGGCCAAGTTATCTAAAGGAATGCCTCCTCCCATATGTATCTACCTGAACCTTAAGATCATCTTTTGAGGTGCTTCTTAGGGCGCTCCCTCCAAGGGAACTAAGGAGAGTGGTGACCAGAAGAAGGGTCTTTTTAGTTGTGGCACCTCATTTATATTATTTATTTATTAAAAGCTTTTGTATGCCATCCTATTATACAAGATCTCAGGATGGCTTACAATGTTTAAAAAGACAATTAAAACAACAATTTCAATAATAATGAAACAGAACAAAACAATAAATCACAAGACAAACAGAGCGACTAAACTTTAAAACTATTAAAGTTTAAAATACTATTTAAATAAAAAGGTTTTGGCCTGGCCCCGAAAAAAGTATAAACCTGGCGCCAGGCGTACCTCTCTGGGGAGTACATTCCAGAGTCTGGGCGCCACAGCAGAGAAGGCCCTACTCCGAGTTGATGGCCTTTTTACCTCTCTTAGAGAGGGTTCCTGGAGAAGGGCTTCTCCCATAGATCTTAAGGGGCATGACGGCATATAAGGAAGGAGACGTTCCTTCAGGTATCCTGGTCCCAAGCCATTCAGGGCTTTATAGGTCAAAATCAGCACCTTAAATTGGGCCCGGACTTCAACTGAAAGCCAGTGGAGCTGGTAGAGGACTGGCATTATGTGAGAGTAATGGCTGGTCCCCGTCAGCAACCTGGCAGCTCTGTTCTGTACCAGTTGCAGTATCTGGACCATTTTCAAAGGCAGCCCCTCGCAGACCGCGTTGCAGCAATCCAAGCGGGAAGTTACCAGGGCATGTATCACTGTTGCTAGGCAGTGCTCATCCAGGTAAGGATGCAGCTGATAGATCAGTCAAGGTTGTAGGAAAGCACTCCTTGTCACCACTGCCACCTGGAACTCCAGTGACAGCTCTGGGTCAAGGAGTACTCCCAAGCTGCGGACCCTGTCCTTTAGAGGGAGTGCTACCCCATCCAGAACTGGGTCAAAATCACCTACCTGGAGACCCGCACTGCCCACCAACAGGACTTCCATCTTACCTGGATTGAGGCTCAGTTTATTGGCCCCCATCTGGCCCATTACATTGGCCAGTCACCGGTTCAGTACAGCCACTGCCTCACCTGGAGCAGATGTAAATGAGAGGTAGAGCTGGGTGTCATCAGCATACCGATCACTCTGCAGCCCAAACCCCCTGATGACCTCTCCCATGTAGATGTTAAATAGCATGGGGGACAAAATAGAGCCCTGCGGGACTCCTTGGCAAAGCTGCCATGGTGCAGAGCTATAGTCCCCCAGCACCACCATCTGGAATCGGCTGGCCAGATAGGAGTGGAACCACTGTCATGCAGTGCCTCCTACTCCCAGTCCCACCAGCCTATCAGGGAGGATACCATGGTCGATGGTATCGAAAGCCGCTGAGAGGTCCAGGAGAACCAACAGGGACACACTCCCCCTGTCTCTCTCCCTGCACAGGTCATCATACAGGGCAACCAAGGCAGATTCAGTGCCATACCTGGTCTGAAGCTGGACTGAAATGGGTCCAGATAATCAGTTTCATCCAAGAGTGCCTGGAGTTGTCCTGCCATCACCCGCTCTAACACCTTGCCCAAAAACGGAATATTGGCCACTGGTCTAAAGTTGGTGGCCATCTCTGGGTCCAGGGATGCCCTCTTCAGGACCGGCTGGATCACCGCCTCCTTCAAGGGGACTGGGACCCGGCCCTCCCTCAGTGAGCCATTAATAACCTCCTGGACCCAGGGACCAGACCCGTGACTGGCCTCCTTAAGTAGCCAGGAAGGGCAAGGGTCAAGAAGACAGGTGGTAGGACATACCATCCCAAGCACCTTGTCCACATCATCAGGCCACAATAACTGAAACTCATCCATTAAAGATGGACCAGACAGGTCCATCTGGACACTTCCCGTACTGGAACAGTATCAACTGTGGAGTCCAAATCGCAGCGAATCTGAGCGATTTTTTCCTTAAAGTGCTGGGCAAAGTCGTCACAGCAGGCTGCTGAAGGTGCGACCACGTCATTTTCCTGGCCAGCATGTATTAGGCCTCGCACTATTCGGAAAAGCTCCGCCTGACAGCACTGTGAGGAAGCAATGGAAGTGGAGAAGAACTTCTTCTTCGCCGCCCTCACTGCCACAGCATAGGCTCGAAAGTGAGCACGTAAGCGTGTTCAGTCAGATTCGCCCTGAGATTTCCTCCACCTGTGCTCTAATCGTCTCCCAGCCTGCTTCATCGCCCGCAACTCAGGTGTATACCATGGTGCCGAGTGGGATCTGCTCGGCAGGAGAGAGCGCTTAGGAGCGATCATGTCGATTGCCCTGGTCATCTCCCTATTCCACAAATAGACCAGGACATCAACAGGAGCGCCAGCTTTATCAGCTGGAAAATCCCCCAGAACCCTCAGGAATCCATCTGGATCCATCTTGCTCCAAGGGCGGACCATCTTAATAGGAATCAGCTCCAAGCATAAACCTCATGAGGAAGTGATCTGACCATGACAAAGGAGTTAAGGTCAAGTTTCTCACTTCCAGGCCACCCTCTTCCTGCCCCGTCCAGAAAGCCAGGTCAAGCGTGTGACCTCTTTCATGGGTTGGGCCAGTG